ATACTATTTATGGAAGCATAAATTTTAAGGTCATCAGCATACAGTAGATAATTAACATTAATTACACTACCAATGTCATTTATAAAAATATTAAATAAGAGTGGGCCAAGATTCGACCCTTGAGGGACACCAGATGTGGCAAGGTACTTAACAGACTTGAACCCATTAAGCTGAACGTATTGTGAACGGTTACACAAATATGATTTTAGTAAGTCAATAAGACTATCTGAGAGTCCAAAAGCAGACAGTTTTTTTACTAAAATTCCATGGTCAAGTCTGTCAAATGCTTTAGTCATATCTGTATAAATAACATCAGTCTGAATACGTTTATCGATATTTTCTGATATATGCTGAGTAACGACTGAGAGATTCGTTACTGTTGATCGACCTTTTACAAATCCATGTTATTGAGTGGATAACGCATTACTTATATGTTGACAAATACTGCGTTCCAGTAATATTTCTAATACTTTACAAAAATTGCAAATAATAGAAATAGGTCGGTAGTTCTTAACGTCAGTTCGATTTCCATTTTTAAAAATCGGACATACTTTAGAGCTCTTCCACATGGACGGAATAGTACTAGAACGGATGCAAATATTGATCAGGATTGTCAGAGGATAAGCGAGTACTTGGACACAATCTTTCAAAATGAATGCAGGAATATGGTCGGGTCCCGTAGTGCGCTTAGGTTTTATAGATTTTAATGCGCCAAGTACCTGGCTTTCGTCAAAACTGTCAATATTTAAACAAGTTGATTGAAGTTACATCAACATGAGAAACTTTAGAATGAACGTAGGATTTGCTAAAAAGATCAGCAAAACTATTTAGTATGTCAGCAGGATTGTCCAGTGTATTATTTTCATAGGTCATGTTATTAGCAACTTTACTAGAACTTTTTCTACTGTTGACCTAGGCCCAAAACTTGTTAGAGTTAATAGATATATCATTCTCTACTTTTAACAGATAATTTTCATGTGCTGTTTTAATTGCAAGTTTAACTTCAGCTCTTATGTGCTTAAATTTTTCGAAAGCCCTGATATCATTGTCTTTTTTATATTGACGCCAAAATTTTGATTTTTCTCTTATTTTTTAATGATACTGGGATTAAACCATGGAGGATATGTTTTTTTATTATGCACTGAATAATTGGGTACGCAACGATCTAACACATTATACAACTTGCCATAAAAATATGTACAGGCATCATCGGCACTATAAAAGTCCAGTCAATATTTGATATCATATTATACATAAGTGGAAAATTTGCCTTACGAAAATTATAACAATTTGTATAAGAAGATTCTAGGTTATTTTTGTTGTCAAGTTTTTCCATTAATTCACAACTGATATCTAAAGCTGGATGATGGTTATCTTCGGTTACTAAGGGATCTAAGGATTTCTCAACAATACAGCGGCCGTTGTAAAAATCTAAATCTATGGACGTCCTGACCCTCAAATATATCCAAAGTGGGCGTCCATTGGACTATGTGTGCCTAGACGAATTTTTAGAAATAGTACTTATTTAAGTATGCACCAATATTTCCAAAATCAACTCCAGTATGATTCATTTAATAAATGTAAATATGAATGGACAAAACATTTTTATATTAACATAATTGTAACTTGCAATTTAGCCATAATAAAAGGATTTCGCCAACTTTGATCAATCCTAATTGAAAAACGCGAATTTATTATATTTTTTTAAATATAATTTCAAAATAAAATAAACAAAATCTGCAGTTCATTGTTTATTAAATTTATTTATAAGAAGAAAAACATACTTCACAAAATACAATACCTACATATGAAAAATAAAATGTCAAAAATGATTAAATCATTATACTTAATATTTATGCATGTGATAAAATTCTTAGTTTCCTAATAACTTTTTTGGCACATTTTATATCTGTATTAGAATACCTAAGTGTGTAAAAATCTTCATCTTATTACTACACAAAACAAACACCAAAAAATATCACTTAACATTGCTCACGTACTAAACACAACTTGGACTGACTTTGACAGATAACATAATTTTAAGTGATACACAACTTAGTTTCGCACATGCGCGTTACAAAACGGTACACTGAAAACACCAAGCTGTCGCTTCTCCTTGATCGGTATTCTCGGTTTTGAACAATGTTTACATGTTAATATGAACTTTTTGGCTTACAATTATGAAATCCGTACAATTTAGGACATCCGTATGAAACATTATTAAAACTACAAGAGTTTATCTACAAAAAAAAATTGGATGTCCGTTGCGGTGATAATATTATGAGCCAGGCTAGTTTCGTAGTGCGATAGAGATAGATATGTGTGTACAACCATAGGTACAACTAAGGTGTACTATACAAAGCAATAACACCGTTAGCCGCGTGTAAATCACTCGCGGCAGCCGTTTAAATTAAATTGTTATATATTAGTTAATATAAGTTGATTATTATAAAACATAAAAATATGGTTGATGTTTTGTTACGATCTAAACACATTTTAGAAACTTTTATAGAGACTAACTTTTTTTTTTAAATCTTGTTTAGCTAATTTTGTAGGGTTAACATAAAAAGTACAACATTTTTTGAAATTTTTTTTTAATATAAAACCGAGGAAATCGCATTTTTAATTTTTTTGGGCCGTAAGCCCCAATGGTTTTTTAAATGGACAAAACTTAGCTCATAACAATATCTTGAAACTTGTCACAACTAATGAGGCAGACATATTTTCTGTACTATTAACAATAAAATCCAAAGCTGTAGGTGTAGACAGTATTAGTATAGAAATGTTGCTGCATTGTTGTCCAATCATATTACCTTACGTGACACATATTTTTAACTATTGCATAATTAAGAATGTTTACCCTGCTATGTGGAAACGTGCTCTTGTAATCCCATTGGCAAAAATGTCAAATCACAGTAGTCCTAAAGATCTGAGACCAATTAGTATTTTATGCGCAATTTCTAAAGCTTTTGAAAAAATAATCAATAAACAACTAATATCTTTTTTGAACACCAATAATATTTTACCTCCTCATCAGTCCGGTTACAGATATTTGCACAGTTGTACTACAGCTTGGTTAAAAGTTACTGATGATATTCATAATGCTTTGGATGAAAATAAAATGGTCGCGTTAATTTTGTTAGATTATTCGAAAGCTTTTGATCGAATAAATCACCAATTACTCTTATCAATTTTGCATTACATAGATTGTGATAATAATAGTGTTAATTTATTTCGTAATTATTTGAGTAATCGTCAACAAGCTGTAATTTATAACTCGTCTTCTTCTGTGTTTTCACAAGTAAACAATGGAGTGCCGCAAGGATCCATTTTAGGTCCTATTTTATTTATAATCTATACATTAGATTTTTATAAAAAACTAAATTTCTGCTCGTCTCATTTTTATGCTGACGATACACAATTGTATCATACATTTTCTGAGGAAAACATCGATATTGCTTGCCAACAGATCAATCAAGATATTGAGTCTCTCATTAATATGTCAAATAAATTTTGTCTTTCAATTAATAGCACTAAATCAGTAGCCATACTTTTTGGAAAAAGCGCTCTTAGAAATAGATGTATCGGAAAATTAAAAATAAATGTAGGAAGTGCTAAATATCGTAAACTCTGTCAAAAACCTAGGCTTGATGGTTGACTCCGATCTACGTTTTACATCTCATGTCACAATGATGCTTCGAAGAGCTTTTGCTAATCTAAAACTAATATATGGTAGCAGGGGTGTATTAACTAAAAAAACAAAAATCATGCTTTGTGAAGCACTCGTGTTATCCCACTTAAATTATGGGGATGTAGTATTTGGGCCTGAACTTTTGAAAAGGGATCAATTAAGATTACAGCGAGTACAAAATTGTTGTATTCGGCTTATTTATAGTTTGAGAAGGTGCACACCAACTTCAAAATATTTAAAGGAATTGAAGTGGTTAAATTTAGCAGAACGACGAGTTTTACATGAATGCTTACTTTATCACAAAATTATAGTTACTGAAACACCAGCTTATTTATATAGTAAAATTCGATTCAGAACGGACGTCCATAATTTAAATTTAAGGAATAGAGGTTGTCTAACTATGCCAAAACATAAATCAGTTTTGTTTGAAGGCTGCTTTTCTTATAACATTGTTAAGTTGTACAACTGGTTACCCGATGACTTGAAATTATTCACAGATCATATATTATTCAAGTATAAATTAAACAATGTAATGCTAGATAGAAAATTACTAATAAATTCTGTAGGTCGATAGTTATAGTTTTTAGATAAAATTAAATTTTATATTCGTTTTTATTATAATATAGTATTATTGTAATGTTATTATTGATATACTTACTGGTTCTTACTCATCTGGCTGATTTTTATTTTTTTATTTTTAAAGTTAAGATGTTAAGTTGTTTACGGTTTTGGGTTTTCAATATTTTTTTCTCTCATATTCGTAAAGCCATATTGTGCGCTAGATTGAATAATTATTAAGTGAACATGCAGTGCACATCTATACATCGAAAGATGTATAGGTATGTCTATCATAATACTGGTTGAGTGGAAGAGCAAAACTCTGATTTTTATCAGAGATTTTGAACTCTGCCATTTGGCAAACTATTTGTATTTATATATATTTTTTTTCTTTCTTTGTATTAGGTACTTAGTTTGGCCAATAAAAGCATTTATTATTATTATTAAAATAATACATTTACCTAACTTGTAAAGTGACTTTTTGGATTTTGCGGTCATATTGTAGTACACGTTACGCTCTATGCAATGTTACCAATATCTCGCGTTTTTTTGAAAATAGTGCCCTTCTGCACGGTCTAATTTTGGGTTACCTTCGGTTTTAGAATCTCCAAAATATTAGTTTTCAATAAATTAACAATTTATCTTGTGACACTAAGCCCCCCACAAAGCATAATTCCGATTGACTGGCACACTGGCACTACACTATTCATCGAGATATCCATTAATAATTTTAAATCAAGACATAACTTACCGTAGCCAACCACGCCGAAGACTTGCTTTGATGCGATTTCGAGGAAGATTTGCCGCTTCCCGGTGATTTGACGGACGACTTGGAGGCGACAGATTTATTCGCCGCCGCCGCTGCCGCCGCCACGGCTTGCGATTGTCTCTGGGTCTGTTCCATTATTTGATGTATCAGATCCAGCTGTTGTTTAGTTAACCCGTCATTGTTGCCACTGTTGCCGCTCTGTAACATTACAAAGAGATGAATGGTGCGTCGGGGAACATTAATAGACTAAAATTTAATTTTAATAGCCTAGTAATTAATGGGTTTATACTAATGGGTTGAGAATAGGACGATCGTTAAATTATTTCGGATATTTTCCGTTATAAATTAACAATAGGATGCGCCAGGAATGCAAAATCAGGACCGCCGAGAACCAGGTCGGGCCCCGTGACAATTTTATAAAAAATTAGGCAAAACTTTCTTCATATTTTTACTTGAATTTCTCTAAAAAAAAAAGTCTTCTTTAATGAGGCTGAAGCTAGCAAACAAACTAGCAGACAAACCGCGCGGCGGTCCCTTTATGTTTTGATATTGTTATTCGGCAAAATCTTTGGTTTAGGTGGACTTCAGTATCATGAAAGTTTAGAAATAAATAAATATTAGTGTATTTATTGAAAAAAAAAATGGAATAATTAAATTCGAATTATTAGTAAAAATAAGATAATCTTACACAAAGACGGGGACGAAACAACCACATTTAAAATGCGATTCTAAATATAATTTTTGTATCAAATATTCATTGATTTTTATTAATTGAATAAACAAAAAATTATGGTCGAGCAATGTTTTAAAATATATTTTTTTGGTCTTTTTAAAGTCAGGTGTTTTGTCGTTAAACGAATATAAGAACAAAAAGACCAAAAAAACACATTTAGCACGAGATTACAATTACAATTTTTATACCAATAATTTAGTACACCACTAGCTATAAAACAAATAAAAAATCATTAAATAGCAAATCATCTAAATATAGTTTCATTAAAGTCAAACGTTTCCGCGGATAAATATTACTCAAAGGAAACAACAAAAACAATCATTTAACACGAGAATACAATTTTTATACCAAATATTCAATAAACAAGTATCAATAAAAAAAATATTAAATTATCAAATAGCAAGATCTCTAAATACATTTTTTAGATCTTTAAAAAATGTAAGATTCCGTGGATAAACCTTATTTTATCAAAACGACAAAAACTAATATTTAGCACGAACATTCAGGTATAATTTTTAGTATAAATGATTCAATACATTATTATAATTCAAAAAATAATAAATCATTACACAGCAAGTTTTCAAACTGGGTACCATAGCGCATTTTGATTTTGCTTACTAAGAACAGATGGCGACACCATTTTCACTACTTGAATTTTATTCTCTCCGTAACCAACTTTATGGTATACTGGTGAAATGTGTAGCACTTGTTAATTCCATTAGAGACTGGAATTGAGAACCTATCTATTTCTTGCTGAGGAGGTCCAAGAATTATGTTCTTCTTGGTGAGCAAAATCAAAGGTAGAGTGTTGAAAATTAATTTCTATCTTTGCTGTTTTTCCTTCGGATGTAATTCAATTCCTGTTGTGGTATTAGCCAAAGGAGTAGTTGTTTCTTTTAAGGGGAAACGGTCGTTGTATTTTATGTGATATTCTGGCTTTGAGCTAAATTCATTTTATTTTCATTTTGCATCTATCACATTTGAGTTTTGATATTTTATTATAGTTTAGTTAAATATTACTTTAATGTATATCAACATACTGGGAGGTTTTGCCAATAAATGCTTTGATCTTAAATTAATTTTACAGAAACAAAATGTAAGTATTCTATGTGTTACTGAACATTGGCTTGATTCTGACAATTTACAAGCTACCTCAATTGACGATTTTAAGCTAGTCATATTTTTCACGGATAAATAAATAAAAAGGTGCTAGTATATTTATGAAAACAAGTATGGCTGCAAATTTTGAATCAATTAATTTACATAGGTGGTGTATAGAAGGTGAATTTAAAGTATGTGGTGGAAAAATAAAGATCGATTCTAAACTTTTTTTATTTATTATTACTGTGTATAAGCCACCTTGTACTAAGTTTAGCACTTTTATAAATTAGCTAAAGCCATTAATTCATAATATTTATCAAAACGACAATCACTATTTTATCTATAGTGATATTAACGTAGATTTTTTGATTGAAGGTTATCAAAAAACTGTTTTAATTGATTTATTGAAGGAATTCAATATTGAACATCATAAATGTTGCAACGAGAACAAGAAGTACAACCTCAACTTGTTCAGATAATTTTTTTTACAAATTTTGATGTAGATAAGATACTTTTTTGTCTGATCATAACTACTTATTATGTTCGATTAAACTACCTAATTTTGAAAATAACCCATTTAAATAAAGATATAAACGAGATTTAAGTGATCCTAACGAAATAACTTTTATAAATATTTTATCAGTTGAAAATTGGCGTGAAGTATACACATCTACTAATTTTAATGATAAATTTTATGAATTATTCCTATACTACTACAATATTGTATTTACGAAAACAAAGAAAGCGATAAAACTGCAAAAATTAAAAAATCAGTTTCCACCTCATATTAAAGAGTTACATAATCTAATATGTGAAATGAACAGGTTGAAGAAAGAAATAAATTCTACATATTATATAGAACGTTACAATAATTTAAAAAAAGAGTATCAAAAAATAACAAAACAATATTTGAGAAGAAAAATTAATGATCGTATTTTAAAAAGTAATAACGTAATGAAAGAATCTTGGAATATAATAAACGAGAGTAGGGGAAAAAGAAAAAACAACTTATTGAATCCTATTAAACTTACAAATGATGACAAATTAACACCCTTAGAAAAAGTAAATTATTTATTTGTTTAATTTATTTATTGTCTTAAGTACACTACAGAAATATGAATTCCAAATGGCACAGTCTTAAAGCTAAAACAACAATTAAAGTATTATTATATACATATAAAAAAAAACCGAATATATAAATATCAAAACTTTAAAATTTTAAAATATATTTAACGTCTAAAAAACAAAGTCTAACACCATACAAGACAAGAAACAACCTAAAATTTTAAAATTCTAGCATCCTCTTAACGGATAATAACGTACAATTAAAAATATCACAGTGAGAATGGTGCTTATTATAGTTGCACAAAAGCCTATTCATGAAAGCTCTTTTTCCATAGTTTGTACGATGGGTTTTCTCAAAGAATAGTTGTGACTGTCGAGTATGCCTTAACGGAACAACAAAATTTACTTGGCATAGCAATTTTTCACAAATAATGTCTCCATTAATTATTTTGTAGAGCAAAAGTAACATTGCATCCCTGTGTCTCCGTTCAAGAGTTTGCATACCACAGAGTAGCAGTCTCGTTTCATACGATAAATCCCGATATGGAAAGTGAAACTTAAATAGCAAATATTAACAAAATTTGTTTTAAACTCGTTCAATTCGGTTGATATAAATAGCTTGCGAGGGAGACCAAACAGTAATGCAATACTCTAAAATACTTCGGATCAAACCACTGTACAAACATGTTATTGCTTTAGTGTCTTGTATATGCTTTGTGCTTCTTTTTATGAATCCTAATAGCCTAAACGCCCTCAGAATGATAGTATCAACATGTAAAGAAAAGGATAATTTCCTGTCGAATATTACCCCTAAATCATTAAATGTGGAGACGCTCTCCAGCGTAGTATTATTAATAATGTATGAGTTTTCGACAGGGTTAGAACGTCTGTAAAATGATATAACTTTACATTTTGATATGTTTAGTTCTAAATAGTTAGAACTGCACCAAGAGACAAATTGATCTAAATCAGACTGTAGGGCGTTATAATTAGGTTCCACAATATTAAAAAAAAATTTAAATCGTCAGCATATAAGAGAAAATGAGAATTTTTAAAACAGGACACTACATCATTTATAAATAAAAAAAATAAAATAGGGCCAATATGTGAACCCTGGGGTACACCCGAAGACACTGTCACTTCCCGCGACACAGAACCATTCACTGTAACACGCTGCCGACGGTTAATAAGATAGGATTTAATCCACTTAAGGTAATTGCCTGTTATTCCAATTTCAGATAGTTTCTTTAAAAGTAACTGCTGACATACACTATCGAACGCCTTAGAGAGGTTGGTGTTAATTGTATCAACTTGGTAACCAGCTTCAACCGAAGAGGTAATAAACTCCTGATAAATAGCCAGATTAGTAGTTGTTGAACGGCCTCTGTAGAAGCCATGCATCTATTATGTAATTTTTAAACGTGTAAAATAATTTATCTGTTAAGATTGATTCCAACAGCTTAGGAATTGCTGATAGCATAGAAATGCCTCGATAATTTTTTATGTCTGATTTATCCCCGGACTTAAAAATTGGAACCTAGTTAGAATATTTCCATCTGGACGGGACATATCCTCTGTCGAATGATCTCTGGAAAATTGTGCACAGTGGTGCAGATAAAGCAGGGCACTTCTTGAGAAGAATAGGTGGTATTCCATCTGGACAAGAACCTTTGGAAGGATCGAGATCCAACATTTTTTTCTTTATTTCATCTTCTTTAAAGATGTGAAATGAGAGATGGGAACCAAATTTGACTGATTCCAAGTGATTTAAGTCAAGAGTGCTTTGGTTACTGTAGCAAGACTCAAAATATAGTGCAAAAGTATCAGCGATAGATGAAGGTGTTTTTAAAGTATCATTGTTGTATTTCATGATAGACGGCATATGTTCTGTACGTTTTAGGCTATTAATAAATGTCCAAAAATATTTTACATTTTCAGGAATTACATGTTTAATATTGCTAACAAAAGTAAGGTAGCATAGATCAATGCGATATTTTACCTCACGTCGAATGTCGGAATATGTTTTGTAGTCTGAAGCATATCCAGTCCTTTTAAATTTATTATATGCTCTGTTTTTTTTCAGATATTAGTTTTCTCAGAGGGTCATCATACCATTTTGGATATTTTTGGTTTTTTATTTTAGGAACATATAAGTCAATGGCCTTAAAAAGGTGTTTATAAAACATATCCACCATTACATCGAGATCGACAGTACTGTATAAAAAATACCCATCAGTTTGTTCCAAATATAAGTTAAGTTTAGTAAAATCTACCTGAGGATACTGATATATCAAT